AGAATTCACGAAGCTTCGAGACTATGACGTGTTACTAGCGTCACGTGACCTCGATGACGCAACAATATACTAAAGTTGTTTCATTAAACGATTGGAAGACTGAAATAACTGTTTCTTGCCGATCCAGAGAAGCGGTTGAACTTTTTCTAGGAATTCATTGTACATGTTTAAAAAAATTGGCTTGAGAACAGTATAGACTGATTCGATGACGAGGAACCCACTTTGAGCCTAATAATGGTTGGAGACGGCTTGAATGGGTAATGAAGAAAAACTTTAACATAAGTTTAATCCAACAGCAAATGTACAACGTTTCGACAAGGTTTTGTCATCATCAATTAACAGAAGGACATTGTATGCACGCAAGATGATGCACCGCCATATATTTCCAACGCTACGAAGAACCAGCTAAGCAACGCTTTTGCTTTTTAACCAAAAAATATTATTTGAGAATCTGAAATGTTCATTTTAGCTTGATGTCGCATAAGGTAAGTAAGTAATGCGACCAGGTGGTACAATCTGTAAACGCAAAAGTCTGGGATCGCGTGCCTCATGTTCTCGTGCATATGCACATTAATTCAGTTAACATAACTTGTTACAGTCTGGAAGTTATAAACAGGGCCAGATTGGAACTAAATGCCAGCCCGAAAAGTTTATTGCATCGGCTCACAAGGCAAGGGTGTCTGATGGCCACCAAGTACGTGTATAAAAAAAATACACACTTGCAATACAATTTTTTTTTATTTTACAATATTTCGTAATATTTTTATTCAAGAACAAAATTATTTTACTTCATTGGAGTATGTTATTAACATTTGGCTTGTAGTACTGTCTAAATAACAATGAAAATATATTAAATCGAATTTACTTTATATTGTACAAAATATATATATATATATATATCCGGATGAAACATTAAGATCTACTACATCTTTGATTTATGCTTTATCTTTAATATAGGCCACCATATTTATTAATATATCTCGAACAGACCGACATGGCCAGGTGGTTAGGGCGCTTGAACCGCAGTCTGAGGGTCGCGGATTCGAATCCTTCTCCCACCAAACATGTTCTCCCTTTCAGCCGTGACGACGTTATAATGTTACGGTCAGTCCCTCTATTCGTTGGTAAAAGAGTTGGCGGTGATAACTAGGTCCTTTCCCTCTAGTCTTTCACTGCTAAATTAGGGACGGCTAGCGCAGATAGGCCTCGTGTAGCTTTGCGCGAAATTAAAATAAACAAACCGCCTCATGGCAAATTCTCGGTTTCTTAAGCCAGTTCGACCCTGGAAGCAATGGAATGCATAAAGTAGGTTTACAGTTTTGCAGTTATAACTGTAGTGCAAAGAAAAGGATACTGACGTTTAACAGTTTATTCGAAAAAGAACAACAACTAAAATGTGAGAGCAATAACATTTAAGAAGTTAAGAGTGGACGACGTTAGAACAATATTGAAATATAATGTTTTCGAAAAGTGCTGATATATGGGTATGACTGTAGTTTTGTTTTAATGGTACAATATTTAAAAGTTGTTTTATTGAGTCACTGGAGGGCACTTTTAGTTAACTCTCAGTTAAACCGTTCATTGTATTTTCTAAAGTTCTGAAAACGACTTCGTAGCTGTTTTAAAGACAAATTTTCCTTGATGTGATATACATCTCGTTGTAGACTTAATGTGCGCTGTTGTTTTTTAGAGTGTTTAAATCGTACTCTGTTAAATGTAACAAAAATTTAATTTTTGATTTATTATTGTGTGGGAAGGAATTTTTGACACATACGACGTACATGGATTAGTTTTTAGTTTTGTTTGTTGTTAAGCCCATTTGGGGGGGGGGGTATTGAAACACGATATTTCGAATTATAAACTCTTAGACTTATCACTGAACCACCGGAGGACGTATATAGAACAATGAAAATATAAGAATACGCCATGGATTTTTCATGGCATGGACAGCTAATCATTTGATGTATTGCTTAGCTAAGTAGTCACGTAGCTTTAAATATCTTTAAAGTAATTATGAAATTATCTATTTACGTCAACATTTTACACAACTAAGCTTGACGACCTAAGCAAAATGTAGTTATCAGAAATAAGGTAAAGAAAGAATAATTTGTTACTTGCATTACAATTAATAGTAATTATAAAAGGTATTTCGAACATATGCTGAAGGCATAAACTCTATAATTCAGAAGATATAATTAAGCTTGAAATTTCTTCATCAGCAGCCTTTCAGATCGCTAACTTTTAAAAGTCTACTACGATCGTTTCGTTAATCTGTGGAAATTACGGGCCCATAACTAGTTATTTTGCTGCTTCATATGAAAGTTTTCTATCTACCGCCTTCCTTCTCCAATTCAATTTTGAAAAAACACCCGAAGGACTACCACCTAAACTGATATATTTATTACTTCTTAAAGGTATGTTACAGTAATAGTTAATGTTACACTGCTTGCTTCAAGTCCAATTTCGTCCAAGTGCATGCTCGATCAAAAGTTTTGTCAGTACAACCAGTCTTGTTTGTATAATAAAAAAGAAGCATGTTGTAGGTCAAACCACCAAGGAGTTAACTATATATATATATAGTGATACCTGAAGGAAGGCATTGCCCGAAACATTATATCCGTAACAGTATATATATATATTAAAATATATATATATATATATATCTGTCGTTAACTCCTTGGTGGTTTGACCTGCAACACACTTCTTTTTCATCTCTTTTCAACTACCACTACGCGTAATTTCCTACATTGTTTGTATAAAATTGACCTCAGATGTAGGATTTAATCAATTTAAGTTCCGAAAACCTTCCTTATCCATCTCCAACGGTCGTGAGCGAAGTCAGCAGAATTCTCAATGCGATAAAAGTTTTGAGAAACGAC